GTATAGATGGTCTACAAGTTGCTTGGATATGCTTCCGGAATACATGAAATTCATATATCAAGAACTTTTGGATGTTCACAAAGAAGATGAAGAGTTACTAGAAAAGAAGGGAATGGCATATCGTAGCTACTATACTAAAGAGATGGTATGTAATTAATAGACATCTCTTTTGATATTTATAACTCTCTTTTGCAACAAATTCAATTCATTTTATGCCTGATGAAATTAAATTCAATCTTCTTGCCAACTAGGTGAAAGAGTACACTAGAAATCTCCTAACGGAAGCCAAATGGGTTAAAGAGGGTTACATTCCAACCATAGAGGAACACATGTCTGTGACCCTGGTAACTTGTGCTTATGCCATGATCATAGCGAAATGTTATGTTCATGGACATGATTCTGTCAYAGAGGATACCTTTAAATGGGTGTCCACATATCCTCCTCTTGTCAAAGCTTCATGTTTGATTTTAAGGCTCATGGATGATATTGCTACCTATAAGGTTSGTTTCGGATCTATTAATTTTGAAGTATAATTTAACATATATATAGTTAAAACAAAAACAATGTAAGATTGTATGATGTTACTTTTGCAAATATCACAGGAGGAACAAGAAAGGAATCATTGTGCTTCTAGCATCCAATGCTACATGAAGCAACATGGTGTCTCGGAGGAGGAAACACGTGAAGTATTTTCAAAACAAGTCGAAGATGCGTGGAAAGTTATAAATCAAGAATCCCTTAGGCCTACTGATGTCCCGATGCCTCTGCTTATGCCTCCAATCAACCTTGCCCGTGTCTGTGACGAACTTTATTCTCGTGGCGACGATTATAATCATGCAGGGAAAGAAATGATCCATTGCATCGAATCACTTCTCGTAAATCCTATAAATCTGTAGATTGGTTTATGTTTGTGATGGAGTCTCTTTATTGGATGCTACTATTTCAACATGTATTTGTAATAAATATTGTGGCTATGCATTTAGAGGACCTTTACTTAATAATCTAGGAAGATCGTGCTGTAGAATTCTGTTGTAATGGTATATTGAAAGATAACCGATGTGTTGTTACGACGGATTTTTTACATGTTACGATATGGAGTTCCAATGGTTTCTTTTCTCATGGATTCTGATGTGTTTTGGTTTAAGGCCGCTATGATGAACCGACCAATTATTGATGATACCATCACCACTTGTCTTGATGGGAATGGTTAATTAGTAACCCTAAACAATCTTGGTAATTTAACTTTTTAATTTTTTTTTTTAAATTCAGTTTTTCCGGGCTCCTGCACATATTTATGTATTTATACATGATATAAAAAAATAACAAATTTAAATCAAAATTATCAAAGTTTATCTACAAATATATACATATATCAAATTATATAAAGAGTAAATTACAAATTTTGTCCGTGTGGTTTCGTGAAATTTTTTATTAAGTCCCTCGAATGAATTGATTACAAGGATGGTCATTGTGGTTTCATATTTGTTATGCATGAGATGCTTCATTTTAACAATCGTATAAAATCTTCGTTAACTTTAGTAGCATTTTCATGTTTTAGTTGTTTATGACAATTAGAAATTATTTCAAGGACCTGTTTTGTCAATTTATAAAATTCGATAATAAGAAATAAAAAGGATCAAACAGTCCACCCCATTAACCCATGTACGACGTCTTCCCCCATCATCGACCCCTCCCCAGGTAAGTTACCCTTATTATCCCTGTTTTCAACTTTTATTTCTAAAACAAGTTTGCACCACCATTAACAAAAAGAACACAAGAAACTTCACAGAACGAAGGCATATTATCAAGTAGATTCAGATCTGATGAAGAAATCAAACCTATTATTTCTTCTAGTGAATCTTTGGGTTGAAGAAATCAAAGGAAGCATTTGGATATCRAAGTAGGCTTTCGAAAATCGATGAAAATGACGTTCTGCATTTTCCTCTATCTTCTTCTCTATGATTTTTGGTTTTTGATTAGGGTTTTGGATTTAGATTTAGGATTCTTAACGTTATTGTGTTTTTGATGAGTTATCATTAAATTTGATATTGTTGACAAATTATATTGGAAGTCATTACACTGTAACACAATCCAAGCAAGTGGGATCTTGCCCATCTTCCATAATCAACTTTCTCAAGATATTGAGCGATGTTAGGTAGACTGTGTCGCATCAAATCTATTGTAGCTTCAAACTCTGACACSATATAAGCTTTGCATGCCTAGCATCCACCTATTTCTTTGTCTCTACTCGAGGTTAGGTGCAAGTTCTGGCTCAAATGCCAACAAAAAAGTCTGTGGTGCACGTTGGGGAATACAGTTCCTATAGCCAACTTGATAGAGGCAACCCTATCGATTACGAAGGTTATATTAAGTGTTTCACCGATACATTGCCTTAGCTTATGTAAAAACCATGTCTATGACGTGCCACTTTCTGTCTTCCCCACTCCCATAGCAATKGGKACGATCTGGTTGTTTCAATCCATGCCGACCGCTAAGAASATGGTGCCCACATATGGCCCCCTTCAAATGGGAACCGTCCATTTTAAGAAGCGGTCGCAGGTGTCTTTGAAACGAGTGAATCCGCAAATGAACGAGGTTACAAATATAAACTTCAAAACATAAAATTATGACAATAATTCAAGAATAATTCAAAAATTATTACCTAACAACTGAGTGCGACAGATAACATSTCAAATCATCCTCGTTCATCAATAAAGATCTCCATCACCTTGATTTACYATCTTCAGATTGTGATAATAAACTGGGAGTAGCTTAAACGATAATTCAAGGGTCCATCTCAACARTTGCAAGATATATGATAAGCATGGTTTATTACATGCTTAAAGTGCCTATTTCTTTTACTTATTAGGTAGATTTTCATAGTTTATCCCTACCTTGAGTCATTATTACTTCCTTATTTTCCATTTGTTATGTTGGGAGCTAATTGTGATGAAGAATTTGTTTTACAACATTTTGGAGTAGATAACATCTTTTGACT